CTTTGCTTCCACCTCCAATAATTTCGGCAACGGCGGGTCCACCCTATTCCCCTCTATTTTCTTTTTCTTGTTTTATCTTGAAATTAACTTCCCCAATAAATAAACTTACAAAGAAAAAAATTATCCATGTTGGATGGCCATCCACATCAAAGAATCACATATCTGTTGTTATCCCTCATTGTTGCTCTGCTTATCAATTTTAATTGGGAGCTCCTTAGTTTCCCCATTCTTGGGTGATTTTCATGTGTCTAGCTGTGTCTCCAAATTGGCGTTGGCATGTCTCTCCTTCTTTTCCAACTCACCTCGGCCAGAGCTTTAGCATCATCAACTCAGCGTTAGTCGTCTACCTCGCCCCTAGGGTTCGTCCATTCTGATTTTTGATCAATCCATTCACCATTTGGCATCATCCAATCTATTGTGGCTTTAAATTAAACAAAGGATATCTATTTCTGCCGTTAATTACAATTACACTATGTTTGGTTCAAGGAATTTGGAAGAAAAAGAAAAGAAAATGGTTTTCTCTCATTTTCCTCACCAAAATGGGAGGAATTTGATTTTCCCTCCTCTTAATATATTTTGTCTTCTCATTTCCTTTTCTTTTCACTTTTTTTTCTCTTCTTCTCTATCCAAACAAGAAATGCTATTTTCCATCTCATTTTCTTTTCTTTTTCATTTCAAAATCCTTGAACCAAACATAGTGTTAGTCATCACAAACTTCGATCTAGTTGTAGCATCCTAAACCAAAAGCTTGTAGCCGGCATAGTTTTAAGTTTCCACCGCGGCCGGCCGCTAGAGCTTGACGTTACGTTGGGCCTCAATTTTTTCATGGCGGATGGATATATATCTTCTACGATAATGAGCTAAAGCGAGATGTCTTCTACGACGGCTGCTGGAGCTTTACGACGACCAATGTCTGCGACTGGATCTCTGACGACTAGATTTCATATTAAAATCTAGACCAGAAATTACTTGCCTAATTTTTTTCGTATGTTTTCATACTTTAAATTTGAATTGGGTTAGTTGTACCGAATTGGAACTGAATTTGAACGACCAATAGACATTCTCATAAAATCTTTCTCCTTTCTTTTTTCATCCGTCCCACAAAACAATTCTCATTTCTATTAAAAAGTCACTTTTACTCTTTACTTTTTCATACCCTACCTATCACATCATACCTTTTTACTAATAATCTATCCATCAAATCATACTTTTACTCATCACATCAATGGACATTTTTGGAAATTCAATACCAAAATACACTACCTTTAAATCACTCCTAAAAAGCAAAAGTCCCATGTTTCACGGGACGGAGGGAGTATAAAAGAATTCCTACGCGGAACTACAAGCTTGAGCTTTTGGTTGAATTTGTTTCTTGTCATGGTATCAGAGCCTTGTTAACTAAGAAGTTACATGTTTGAAATTCAGTGTCACCCTGTTTTTAAAAAATTTAACAGAAAATTACTCATAGGTGACGCAGGTTTTGTCGAAATAACTCTCAGGTCTTTCTATTTTCAAAAAGACAACAGAGGTCCTTATATTTTATTGTAATGACTGGGAGGGGACATTTCATCCAATATTTCATCGATAAACGTTAATAAATTTATTTTTTTCCTATTTTTTCTAAATGTTTTAATGTAATAAATCTTAGGTCTCTCATTTTTAATTCTTTGTTTTTCTTTTTTTTGTTACTATTTTTTAAAGTGTTATTTTAGAAATTCTTCTATAAAACCGTATAAAAATTCAAAATTGTTTGTATTATATTAAAATAAATAAAATTAAAATATTTTCCAAAAAAGAAAAAACCAAGTAATGACAAAATAAGAAAAAACGGTAATGGAAAAATAGGAAAAAATACATTTATTGACAATTATGGATGAAATGTTCCCTCCCAGTCATTATAACAAAATATAATGACCTCTCAGTTGTCTTCTTGAAAATAGAGGAGCCTGAAAATAGGTACGTACCCGTTTGATATAGAAAGAAGGGGTTAAGGAGCGCAGAATCTTGAGATGTTCATTCATCTGACGTCTTCTCTTTCTCTCTAGTGCAATATGTTGTGACATTTTGTTTATTAATTAATTCCTTCGTTTTATTTTCTTTGTCGATAGATAGATCATAGATCGATCTGCTGGCTGCACAAAATTAACCAGTCCCCATTTGGGATCCTAAATGATTCTATTTATAGAAAGGATGTGTGTTATTTACTCCGTATGTTATACAGCATGTATTTAATACCGCTTGGTTACACCCATTGTCAAATAAAATATAAAAATATGCAAACAAGCCTAAGTACTTATATATCGAAGGGTCGCAATAATAACAGGAAAGAAAAAAAATATTTACACTAAATAGCACTAAAACTTAAGCTATTTCCCTAAAAAGTACTTGAACTGTTTTTTCTCCTAAATAACACTTAATAATGTCCACAAGGAGGATTAATGTCCAGTGATGACGAAAATTTACTTGAATAATGACTAAAAGTGCTAGATTGGGAAAAAACACATATAATGTTATTTAGAGAGCGTCATTATATTTTAGTGTTATTTAAATAAATTTTCCAAAGAAAAAAGATGGACCGAGAGAGTAGTGAAAAAGAGCAAATACTATTGTGGACCTAAGATTCACACCATTTAAATTAGACTTTCATATACTCCCTCTGTCCCATAAAACATGAGATGTTTTGTTTTTTGAAGAGATTTAAGCAGAGCGTATTTTGGTATTGAATTTCCATAAATGTCCTTTGATGTGATAGGTAAAAGTAGGATTTGATGGGTAGATTATTAGTAAAAAGGTATGATGTGATAGGTTGGGTATGAAAAAGTAGGGGGTAAAAGTGATTTTTTAATAGAAATAAGAAGTGTTTTTTTGGGACGAATGAAAAAAGTAATGAGAAAGGTTTTCAGGGACGGATGAAGTATATAAGTGTGGTAAACAAATACTTATTACAATGATAAACATTGTTTGCAAAATAATATGCAAAAAAGCTTATTAGAGTATGGTAGTAGTAAGAATTTTCGTGCCATACTCGTATAAAAGTTCACCTAAAATGGTATGGATCTTAAGTGAATCACTCATAAAAAAGCCAAGTGTCATATTTTGACCAAAAATGAGTAAAAACAAAAGTCATGTATTTTAACTAAAAAATCAAACCGTACTCTTTTTTGACACGAATGGAGTAGTTATTTAAAGTTTTAACACTAAAGTGTTATTGATGGTAGAATAGGATATTTTATTATGAATTTATTAGTTATTTTTTAGCATTATTATTATTTATTGTAATTTGGGTTTTATTAGGTGAGCGACAATATAAGGTTCCTCAGGGTATCATTACGTTTCTTTTTCTCGTCGCTTTTATTGAACTGTCAGGTTAGGTTTAGGGCTAGCTAGGGTTTCTTCAATTCGTTTCTTATATATTGAGATGTAACTCTTAGGAATATCAATCAGAAAAACAATATTACAAAGTGAAATTTGCACTGAATAGGACTAAAACATAAGTCATTTCTGAATGTAAGACTTATACTTTTTTATTTTCTAAATAGGACTTAATAATGACTAGTGAGAAGAATAATGTCCAAGTAATGCTGGATATTTAGTTGAATAATGACTAATATCTTCTCTTCTCTCGGTTTGCCGATTCCCCCCTTGTCTCAATCTTTCTTCTGCTCTCCTCTCAATTTTTCGGACCCGAAGATGCTCAAATTAAAGTCTTTCCTATCCAATACAAGTTCGCAGGGCTGGTCCTGAAATATGAAAAAATAAAATTGGCTCGGTTTAAAATTTACATTTTGGAGCCTATTTTAATTTTTTAGGATACTTATTCTCTAAAATTATTGCTAAATTTAAAATTAAAGGCACTAAAATTTTAAGGGTCTTGTGCGGTTGGTCACTTTGCACACCCTCCGTGTCACTCATGCAAATTTGTATCTCAAAGCTGGACCAAGGGGTTCATCGGGATCGTCAGAAATCTGGTTTAGTTTTGATCTTTTAAGGAAAATTGGGATGACGAATGATATGAAGTATAGAAAACTTGATAATATACGTGTAATCATGTATTAACATGTTGTCAAATAAAAATTATTTTGAAGTAGTATACTATACCTAAATATTTCTATGGGACAAAACCTAAACTTAATTCATGAAATTCAAATTAATTATCCTCGTATGTGTTGTTTCGTTTTTAGATACTGCACTAATTTTAACATGAGAAAATGGATGGGGGGAGTAATTCTTTAGGTATTGGTATATAGTATATTAGTATATATATATAGACTACCTCCATCCAATATATTTGTGTATTTTTGGCTTTTTAGAGTTAAAATTGATAAATTTTTTATCAATAGTCAAATAAATTTATATTAGATATAGATACAAGAATAATTTTATTAGATTTGTCTAGTAAATAATTTAAAATATAATTTTTGCTTAATTAATATACCATGTCATATTTATTTAACTACATATCAAAAGTTGATCCTGATTGAATATAAAATTCAAAAGTGGACAAATATTCTGAGACGAAGAGAGTAATTTACTCTTCCCGTCTATTAATTTCTTTCGCACTTTTTTTTGGGTTGTCCGAAAATTTCTTTCCCGTTTTCTATTTTGGCAAAAAGCGTTTAATGAAAGTACCATTATATCTCTATTTTTTCTCTAGACAATTCATTTTATTTCATCACATCAAAGACTAAACATGTAAAGTCTTTACATCTTAGATTGACAAATTTTTTTTAGAGGGGCATTAGTATATAGAAATAGGCATGCATGGCTAGTCCCTATCAATGCATTAGGGTAAGTCACGACACCTACCAACCACGTACACGCAATATGCATGGAGTCGAAGACTCCATTGTCAATTAATTGCACGAGGATGCCACCAAAGGAATTAAAAATCAAATAATGGTGCATATAGGCATATACTCCCCTCACATTTTGCCTCTGATTCAGTGCCATATCTCCCCACTTACCTCAGCATCAGCTCACGCAAATACGCATTAATAACAGGAAGAAATGGAAAGCGCAGGCCTTGATAAATAAAAAAATGAAATTGGCCTGGTCTGGTCTGAAATTTACATTTTGTGTCCTATATTATTATTTTAGAATATATATGTTTCAAAATTGATGAGAAATTTAAAAATATAGAATCCTAAAATTTTAGGGGCATTGCACACCCTTCGGGCCACCCACTACATAGCAACATTTCAAAGAATGGATATGAAGAAATTTGATAAACTAAACGAAGCGCGTGATCATTTTCAGATTAAAGTTATTTTGGGTTTACCAAACTACTTCAATTGGATAAAATATTACTATTTAGAACGAATATTGAAGTTCTGCGGTTACTCGGGCACATGGGGGTTAGACAACGATGTTATGCGTTGTGAGGGAGTTTCTTGGGCTAAGCGGAGATTTGCTTCAGGAGTTTTAAGCGATAAGAATATTTCACCCAGGATGAAAGATAAGTTTCACCAGTCTGTAGTCAGACTAGCTATGCTCTATGGGGCAGAGTGTTGGGTGGTTAAGAAGATTCACGCGCGTCATCTGCATGCGGTAGAGATACTGATGTTGCGGTGGATGTCTGGGCAGACGAGGCTGGACAAAATTCTGGGGGAAGTTATTCGAGGTTGGTTAGGCATGACGCCATTGGAAGATAAACTTCGTGAAGCTAGGTTAAGATGGTTCAATCATGTGAAACTTGAAAGCCATGAGCACTCTCATCAGAATGATGAGGACGATGCTTTTTTTGGATTTTTTTGCACCCTCAATAGCTGCAAGACGTGATACTATAAGCTCCATTGATTTCTCCATGTGTGCAATTTTTTCTTCTTGTGCACGACGCTCCTCCCCATGAGCTTATTAAACGCTCCGCTTCTTGAGCATGACGCAACTCTTCAAGCTCTTTTTGTAATCGAACATCATGAGTGTTGAGTTCCTCATCACAACAGTCTTGAGAATTGTAGAACATTGTTGCTCCTCCACACGTAAAATTCGATGACAAATAAGACGTCCCATACACTTTTCGTTTGCTCTTTCCTCCAAATGTCTCTTGCCAGACCGCTAATTTCTTACCACTGTTGATCTCACTTGTGCCACTTATAACATGTTAATATACTTGAATGTTTAATAGTTATAATATATTCTGAAAAAAGTACTTACATATGTTTCCATGGAGCGTGAATCGACCCAACTTCCATCCTTATGCTGGCGAGTGATTAGATCAGAAAGACCTCATCCACTTGCACGGGACGTTGTTTCTCTTTACTCTTTAAAATAAAGATACAAAAAGAATAGTGACTATATAAAATAAAGAAACAAAGTAGCAATGACTACTTAAATTAAACAAACACAGAGATATTATTTCCCAGACTTGGCAGTTGTCTTAGCCTCCAGATTAGACTTGCTGCAATTCTTATATATATGACTGGTCAAGTATATTCTTAAAGTAGAACCATCATTGAAAGTCAACAGATTCAGCATTCCATTAACTAGATTGTACAAAGTAGGATTATGTGAAAAGCTTGTTAACTGTCATTACTTGTTATTTTTGGTAAATGGTGTTTGAAGAGAATGGTTAAGAAACACACAAAGAGAGGTTATTTCCCAACTATCCACAATAAGCCTCAAAAGTTACTCGAAGAATAGTATATATGGAATAAAAGAATTTAATTAAGTATTTTCTAAATGCTAATCATACCATTTGCTCAATTACATCGAGGTGTGAGACGCGGCCAGTGGTGTGGAGTGCTCCCCCTTTAGCGGAACCTTGATTCTTCGAATTCTAATTAGATATTATTTTATATTTTTCTGAAGACCAATACTTTTTAAGTCATTCCAAGTGGCCTCTCCACACTAATTTCGCTTTTTGTTCGCAGCTCTTGCATGACGAAGCAAAGTAGAAAGACGCTTTGATCCCTCGTGTTTCCAATTTTTTTTCATGGTGTCAGTACGAATGGGATTCCAGGTACATCGATCCTGCATTTTTAGATGACTTCATCATATTAATAACTTGTTATAAAGAAATGATGTTGACAAATTTAAAACAAAAAGGTCTATCTGTATGTTGAATACCAAGTCTGCATGTACATGTGTAAAAAAAAGTAATTGTTGGATAGCCATTGATGAACAGCTCATTTGTATATTTGTGGACCATTTAATTTATTCAATTTGGAGTCTTATCCTAGGCAACACAAGTACAAACTTATGAATGGTTCTGTCCGACCATATGCAGTTTGACTAATCACAGCAAGAATAGATAGGGTCTATGGTTTTGAATATTATACAGAAACATCTTGAAGCATAGACTATGATGGTTTCTCCCTATATTGAAACATCTCCGTATACTGATACTTGTTGTGCTGAACAATAAAAGAAGTTTTTTATAACTTGTTAGAAATTCCGCATTAGGAAACAATAGAAAGCATTGGCTATGATGGTTTCTCCCTATATTAAATTCTGCATTTCTTTTAGTATTAGGAAATAGTAGAAAGATCAAGCTTGGCACTATTTAAATCCCATCATCAATTCTAGATTAGATTGTTCATTTACTGTGTGTTTTCGCACATTTTGTCTAGTAGAATGCGACATATGCATTATTCTCATGCTCAGAATAACTATCATCCTCAGATTCTTCACCGCTCATTTCATGGTCATCGTCGTTATTGATATCCTCAGAGCTTGAGGAGTTGTTATCATAGTCCTCGTCATTTCTGTCATCATCAGAGTTTGTGTTACGCCTTAATTCCTTGCGTAGATGTGCTGATAATGGGTGAAGCATTGGTGTAGGCATTGTATGAATCACTGGCTCATATCTCCCAATTGTTTGTGCAATGGATATAGGCTGATTTAGGGGATGACGATGTTGAAACACGGGTTTACCACCTTAACTTACTAAAAGCCGTGTTTGTTTTTATGACAGGTTTTGATAATGCCAAACCTCCGTGAACGAGACAATCAGTTGAACACACAAGGCGAGAAACAAAGACGAAGAAAATAGAACAAGAGCTAAAAGAGACCAAGAACGAAGACCGTAGTTTTAGTATCGTTGAGTCGGTCACAAATGTGATCAAGACCGACCTAACCTTTGCACTTTGGCTCTGTAGGCTAAAACCCTTTTTATTGCATCTCACACATCATCCATTAATGAAACATCCACTATAAGATCTGGTCCCCGAGAAAGCTCATAAAAATGCAGATAATTGTGTATGATTTTATCAGCAAACATCTTAAACCATCTAGCGAAGTCCATCTTTCATTTACTATTAGCCTCTTGGTTAGTGAGAAACGGAAAAGTTTGTGAAAGAGGAGTCTCGAAGTGTTTGAAATAAACCATCTTATTTATTAGTCGTCGTATTTGTATAATGACATTAAATTAATGAACATAAAAACTAAATTTAAATTTTTTTGGCACTAACTGTACATAAGGTATCACTTCTGGGAAGTTCATAAGCACACATGTGTGTGCTCGATGGAGTTCATTATCATCGAGGTAACGTGTTACACCTTGACCAGGAAAATTTCAAACTTGTACTTTGAATATAGATAAAATATTTGATATACCGTCATCAAGTGGCCTAATCAACTCAAAATTCGTTAGAATTGGGTTTACTTTCGTACCAAGATTGTCTTCAAAATAATGTTCACTTAAGAAACTCATCTCTTGCACAAGATATGCTTCCAAAATTGAGCTCTCAATTCTTGCCATGTTTTGAATTTTGTATTTCAAACTTTTCATACACCTCTCAAATGGATATATCCAACGCAAGTGAACAGGGCCACACAATCTCACCTCTTTTGCCAAATGAACCATTAAATGTTCTATCACATCAAAAAAGCTTGGGGGAAATATTTTTTAAAATTTGCAAATTGTAATAGTAATCTGTTCTTGCAAATTTTTTATTTCCTCTATTTTTATTTGTTTCACACACAATAGCCTGAAAAATTTGCAAAACTCTACGATTGCCTCCCATATTATATTATTTAATGCCCCACGAAGTGCGACTCGAAGAATTTGTTGTATAATTACATGACAGTCATGACTTTTAAATCCATAAAAGCTATAACTAGACATGTTCACATTCGTCCCCAAGTTTGATGCATTACCATCTGGCATTTTAACCTTTTTAAACCAGTTACATATGTCTTCTATGTTTTTTCTCAAGTGTACACTCTGCCTTTAGTAATTTTTTGTCATCTGTAGACACCCATAACTCTCGTCGCATCTTTAAAATTTCCATGTCTCGTCGAGAATTTTCTCCACCTTTAGTTTTACCAACAACATCCATAACTGTGTATAAAACATTTTTAGAACATTTTTTCTCTATATTGCATCACATTTAAACAATGTGGCACTTCTTGATCTTTCCAGTAAGATAATTCCCAAAATATAGATTTCTTTATCCAATTATGTGTCACACCAAATCTAGGAACCTTAGTGTTATCATATGTTAGGTTTCACTGGGACGGGTGTGGGTACATATACAAGGACGAGGACTGATTCGGGAATCGGCATTTTTAAAAATTTAAGGATGCGGGAACAGTAAGGATTCGGAAACAAAAGATAATTAAAATATTAAGTATAAGCATGTAAATGTTAAAAATAATATTCTACCTAATTAACATAAAACAATCCAATGACGTACTTAATTAGCATAAAAAGTAAAATGGAATACTTGTAATATCAAAACTATCATGTTTGGAAAAATAAACTCTGTTAATTGCTTTTAATTGAAATATACAAGGGAAGATATGAAAATTTTGAAGCCAAAGCAAACAAGCCAAACATTTACAGTGGGTAAGAACCCAATTTTTTTCTTTTGGTTCTCTGTACTAATACACTCCGTAGCACTGTAGCAGAAAAAAATTGGGTTGAAGCATCGTGGACCACATAGTTGTCTCTAACAAAATAATTGCAAATGTTTACCTTAAAAGTTAAAAGCTCAACGCAAATTCAAAGGGGAGGTAGAACCGTAGAAGTGAATATGTGTAGGCTGTAGGGACTAGGGAGAACACTGGCGACTGGGCGGATCGGCGGATCAATTCCGTCTGCGGTAGAAGTGAATCTGCTCCGGATCCGTTCGGAAGAAGCAATCGGCGATTCGGTGAGAAGACTGCAATCGACATATCAGGTCTCTAGGTCTCTCAATTATATACTCGGTATTAAATTACTTTCCAAATCCTAATAAAATTTGGTCAAATCTTAAAAAAATACTAATTTCAGATCCAACCCAGATTTGTCTCAGAATTTCCGGATCCGTTCCTATTGAATACGCTGACGATTCCGAACCTGTAGATGCGTTTCCGGTTCGCCAGTCGCCGTCCCCGCTGGCGAATCTGTCCCCGCGTCGCTTCCAGAGCAGGAGGCGGCACCAAACAGCCGAACCCGTGCAACCTAGATCATATGTACTCCCAAATAGTGGAAACTCAAAGCTCTCTAAAGCTTCTAGAATTTCATTGCGACCCTATCATATCAGGTGTGGGAACACTAGGTGCACAACATTTAGGCATGAATGTTGTTGTATTTCGTCTAAATGGTTGATTTGATGGTAAAAAATTTATATGGCAATCAAACCAACATGGCTTTCGGCTATTTTCAAATAAAATGAACCTTGCCCATCACCACAATACGGGCAAGCCAACTTCCCATGTGTACTCCACCCAGACAACATGCCATATGCTTGAAAATCACTTATCGTCCACATAAGGCATGCAAACATCATAAAGTATTCTGACCTTAAAATATCCCATGTTTGGACGCCCTGTCACCATAATATCTTTAACTCATCAATTATAGGGCGGTAATACACATCAATGCTTCGCCTTGGACTACGTGGCCTAGAACCAACCCTGCTAAAAGTGTATGTGGTTCCTTCGTAACCAGCTCTTGAGGTAAGTTCAGTATAATGATAAATATAGGCCATAAAGAATATGCACTTCCCGTCATTGAATTTGGATTAAAACCATCTGTGCATAGAGCAAGCTTAAAATTTCTAGGGTCACTGGAAAACTTGGATAACACGTATCAAAATGCTTCCATGCATCACCATGACATAGATGTCCTAGTGTGTCAATAGTTATTTCCATGTTTCTTGCATGCCATGTCATTTGATTGTTAGTTTTGGATGACATGTACATACACCTTAATCGATCAATAATGGGAAGGTGACGATAAATTTTCTTAGCTATGGGTTTCTTCCTTGCTCCTCTATCCATTAAAAATTCAATATAGCGAGATTTGCCACAAGTTTGCATTCTTACAAACTCATTTTATCTTTATAATAAAGCATGCTTTTGTTCAAACACACGTCGATTTTCACCATTGGTAGACCTAATCCTTTCATCATATGCTTCACTTGATAAAAACTTTGTGGTAAACAGTTATGATTAGGCAACACCTCTTTAAAACTACTGAGTATTTTGCTGAAATATGTATTCGACATGTTATATTGACTTCTAACATTTAGTAATTATGCCACTATTGAAATCTTTGTGAACTTTTGGCAGCCTTCATATGATGTTGTTGATGAGTTAACAATCATTTTATAGTATTGTTTTGTATAAAAGTCTTAATTCTCGCTACACTCGACCTCGTTGTTCTCATAATTCCCTCCATTATAATCATCCCCAACATCTAAATTAGGTTGATTGTCTTAATCATATTCTAAAGCATAATTATGATTATACACTGGCCCAACATGTTCAAAAATCATTTGCTCAAAATTAGACTCAAATATATTTGGTGACTCCTTTTCATGTTCATATATCTTTGTGAGTTTGATGCCTCCCCTTGGAAAAAGTAGAAGATGTTCCCAACTACTAACCATGTGTAACGCCACAAAAACCGGTCTAGAAGAATTAACTGCGTAAATCGCTGACCTCGATTGTGTGGGCCACGCCGGCTTGAAAAAATAAAAATATTAGGAAAAATATTTTAATTGCGTCTTTGAGTTTCAATTATTTTTCCAAGTTTAAAAATGTGATTGGTTTCGAAATCGGACCCCGTTTGGAAAACAACCTGAAATTCAAACAGGTAAACTATTTCTTCCATAACAAGGATTTTATCCCAAAATAAAGGAATCCCTGCATCATGTGTTAATCTCATTACCACATTTGAGTGTGAGTGGTTTCCCAATATAAGCTAGCATCATCCCCATCACCTCAATGTCTTGTGGTTACACTACATGGACATCACCTCTCCATCCCTCACCTTGGAATATAGTCTAAGGACACATTGAGGAAGGTTCCTTCATCCTTCCTCCCCAAATCCCTGATTTCCCCACCATAAATACTCCTCTTTCACTCATTCATTCATTTCAACACTTAGAAATATCCCTGTAAGTTTCTTCTTCTTCGCAAGTTTCTTCATCCACCATTAATGGAGTTTTGGGAAGAAAACTCTAGGTAAGTGAGTATGTTCCATTTCTATCGTTATTATAATCATTTTAACACTCTACTCACGCCATACACATCTGTGATATCAAGGTTCGAAGAGAAGACTTCAAGACAAGGAAAGCTAGAAGTAGATAGCGGCGTCCGTTCGTTGACCATACGTGAGCTGTTAAGTTCATTGTGTTCCCCTACAAACTCTAAGGTCTGTACCCTAAACTCGTTCTGTTAAAGTGCATCCCACATCGGAAGTTCAAGAGTAAAAATAACCGGTATATAAGCTCTTGAGTTGGACTAACTAATCGATTGGATTCATTTTTTTAATGTGGTTCGACCCAAGTGTCTTATTGCCCAATCCAGTTGTTCATACCCAATCCTAAATTCTATCATGGTATCGGAGCCAGTTTTAGCCCACCTCGTTTGTCAAGGTGTCCGTCTAGACGTTCATTCCTAGCGGCCCGTTAGTCTTTAGCCCAGTTGTCCGTATGGATGTTGTACCCAACGGCCTGTGGCCTGTTTAACACGATTGCTCGTCTGGAAGTCCATACCCAACGGCTCGTGGTTCTTTAGGTGTTGACGCTCAAAAAAAAAAGTCAAGGGAATGGGAGTTCATAGGATTGTAGACTGGAAGTAAACTTGAAGTATGTGCACGAATCTCTTTTAATTGAATGTGTCATGGGTTTTAAAGGTAAAAAGTTATTGATCTGCAGAGTACATTTAAAATATATATATTCTATGTTTAAATTTAATATTAATATTTTAGACAAATCCTAGGCCCAGAACTGTCAAACTTGTAGGCCCTCGCAATTTTGGGATGTTTAAAAAGTTTTGAATGTTTATAATTGTATTTTTTTGCTTATTGTTTGTTTTTTTTAAGGATTTGTTATTGTTTAGTGGTTTATGCATTAAATGTCGTGGTTGGGGTTGAATAATGAAGCCCAGTGTGTATCGTGTGGACTTTGCATTATGAAGTCCATTGGATTACATTTTAACTGGTTAGTATTTTGACCTAGATTTGGTCCATTTCTATTAGACCGGTTCGGTCTGTAGGATTTTAATCCAATTCATTCAAAAGTCAAATGCTTGTATATTTAAGTACAGTCTTCGGTCCAAATTTCAGTCTAATTTGGGTCTTGGTCTAGTCTGATCAGGCTCAATCTGGTCCAGGTTTAGACCGAATTTCAGTCTAATTTGGGTCTTGATCTGGTCTGACCGGGTTCAATCCGGTTCAGATTTAGACCGAAAAACTCCCTAAGTTGTTCTATCTATATAGGGAGTATATATTAATCAATTTGACTCCTTAGAGTGAAATTGGACAATAAGTAAATACTGCATAACAAATTTGTACAAAACTTTATTGATTAAATTTATCTCATAAAATATTATAAAAAGTTTATTTTCTTATATTAATACAATTTAAGATTGACTTAATTGATAATTAAAACTCTTTCAAAAAATCAAACTATACAAACACACAAGGACCCATGAATGCGTGTAACAATTCTATAGAATATCAAGACTAGAAAAATTGGGGAGATACACAAAGTAATATTAGCGCATAATGGAGTCTTCTTCATTCTTGCGTGCGTTCTGATTCTCTTCCCTATAATTTCACTCCGCCAAGACTCAAACAGAGCAATCCCTGCACCCAGAGATTCTTGAAAAGTATGAACAGTTAGTTTCCGGCATTAGAGAAGTGAAGCCGAGCATTGAAGTGCCCAGATTGAACTCCAACAAATTGTCCTCCAATTGGTAGCCCCCAATCACAATGGGGGCAATCTGGTCCGACCCACCATCCAAGAACCCCAAGCACACAACCCCACCACCCATCTTTACCATCCCATTCATCCTCCATTTCATCATCTCACTCTGCAACACAAGATCCACCCTAGGGGAATCCGAACCGGGGACATCCTTGAAGCATACCCCGAATGGCGCCACTGGATCCACCCGAGTCATTCCCTTGGAAGCCGCGTGCCCGAGGTAGGACTCGACAAACGCCTGGTAGACCGCTGTCTCCATGGTCGTGTAAGGAACAATCGTGCTGATCTTCGTCCCTCGATCAAACAAGGATTCCTTCTTGAGGCCCAGTCTCTCGCCATTAATCCTGATTGATGTTACATTGATGTGGTAGTCCGGAGATGAGCTGTTCCTGGGAAGAGTCAGAGGGGTGTACATCATAGATCTGGCAACACCAAACGGAGGAACGTCACCGGAGAATATTGAGCCTTTGGATGAAGACAAACAGATAGAAAATTTTCTGGGAAGACCAATGGTGCTTGCAAGCTGAGAGGGAAGTGAAATCCGCGAATTCCCAAGGCCGAAAACGCCATCCAAGCCACGACCCAGACCTTGGAGCAGGAAACTTGGCACAGAGGAGAACAAAAAATTGGGAACATGGGAAAGAAAAGAGCTTCCATATGGGTCATCCATGAGCTCCAAAGCTATGGAGTCTTCTTTCAGAAACCCAGATCCGGGGGTTTTCGAAACAGGGTTAAGAAATTGAAGGGGGCAGATCTGGTTACTGGTGCATCCACTGGAATTAGCCATGTTGCACTTGAGAGATTTACAGAGAACCGAACCCAGAGATGGAGAGGTGTGATCGGTCCAGAGAAATGGGCCTCCCAGATCCACTACCAGTTTCAAAGGATGAAGATCTTGGCCAATTTGAAGTCGAGTTAGGTACTGTGAAGTGGGGAAATCTTTGGCGACTGGAAGGACAATGGCCCTTGGGAAAAAGGGTCTCTGAGCAAGAGTAAGAACAGCCAAGAAACTGAGTGTAAGAAGTGGGATAAGATGAAAATTGTAAGCCATGGAAGAAGAAGAAGAAGAAGAAGAAAGATGAAGAGTAGGGTTGAGATGGATTTGGGATGTGGAAAAACGGGTGACGATTTGGCGAACGTCGGAGGGGCGCCACGGCCCATTATTATAGTCCGTTCTTTTGGCTGATATAAGGAGTATTAAAAATGAAAACAATCATGTTACCTTAAAAGAACTCGTAATGGTCTTGAAGCCCCGGGGCTTCAAACTTTCTCTATCTGTCACGTCAGCTTTAACTTACACTCAAAATTCACTGGAAATGGTTTTGAAGCCCCGGGGCTTCAAACTTGGGCTTCAAACCTTCATTTTTTACATTTTTAAATATATATCTTCTAAATTTAAATTTATAAATATAAATTAATTTATTATTTTAATTAATCGCAATGACACTATTGCCTAAAAAAAATTAAATTCATTATAAAAAAAATCTTACATTCATAAAAAAAACATTAAAAAAATTACATTCATTAAAAAGAATTACATACAAAAAACAACAGTACAAAGAAATCACTAATTATTCGGATATATTCCATCAGCCAAATAATATCCGCGCTTGTAAAGCGTCCCTCTAAGCTCAAAAGAGAAGTCCGGTGCGGTCTCATTAACCCAATCGTCAAAAACAGGCGATTGATCGAGAACGTTGATGTCGTTGTTCGAGCCCGCGACACCGAAAAAAGCATGCCAAATCCACAAGTCATTTGAAACAACAGCTTCGAGCATGATGGTAGGCTTGGGATGATCTCCCCGGGAGAATTGACCGTGCCACGCAGTGGGACAATTTTTCCATTCCCAATGCGTGCAATCAATACTCCCAAGCATGCCGATAAAGCCGTGTTTAGCGGCATGCCTCGCCTGCAACTGCTGGATGTCGCTCGCTGTAGGCTTGCGTAAATATCTTTTATGATAAATTTGAATAATAGCTTTTGAAAATTTATAAACACAGGACCTGATGCTCCGAGCAGACATCTTTAAGTATTCGTCGAACATATCGGATG